CCTTCTCCATCCCTGGCCAGTAGAAGTGTCTCCGTACCAATGAGATCGTTCTCTCCTGCCCCTGATGTCCCATGTGGTTGTGATATGCTCGAAGGAGAGCTTGGGATTGATCCCTAGGCACAACTATTTGACATACCTCTTCCCCCAAGGCTGGGTCGAGTAACGTTCGACAGACGACTCCCTCTTTGAGGAAGAGTCTCTTCCCCTGTCGCAGGAGTTGCTGCATCCCCCAAGGTTGTTTACGTCGTTCTATCCTCTCCGGCCAAGTCCCTCGCTGCAGCCAATCTTGCATCTGGGCCAGAGCTGGGTCCCCCGCCTGCCGGTCCCTCCACCGTAGGGGGTCCCAACCCCAACTCGAGGGAACTACTTCCCCTCGAAGCCCAGGGGCCTCTATGATCCCCACCATAAGTTCCTCCTCCGATACTATATGGGGTGGCAAACAAAGGGGTCTAACCTCAGGGAGCCGAGACAGGACGTCGGCATTGGTGTGCTCCTTCCCCGGCCGATACTGCAGATGATAATCGTAGTTGGCCAGCTGCGCCACCCATCGCTGCTCGACTGCCCCCAACTTTGCAGTTTGGAGATGGACCAGCGGGTTGTTATCCGTAACTACAACTACCTTCGCTCCCCACAGATAATCCTTGAACTTCTCGCTAACGGCCCACTTCATGGCGAGGAGCTCCAGCTTGAAGGAGCTATAGTTGGCATCGTTACGTTCAGCTGGGTGCAAACTCCTGCTCGCATAGGCAATAACCCTCTCTTCTCCCTGTTGACTCTGGGCTAGTACGGCCCCCAATCCCAGATTGCTAGCATCCGTATAGAGTGTAAAGGGCTGAGAAAAGTCGGCGTAAGCCAAGATCGGGGCCTGGAGCAGCTCTTGTTTTAATTGCTGAAAGGCCAGCTCACAGGCGGGGTTCCACAGGATGGCAGGGGACCCCCTGCCCCGGACCCGTCCCGAGCCCCCAAGCAGCTGGTTCAAGGGTTTAGCGATCTTGGCGAAGTCCTTAATGAACCGCCGGTAGTAGCCCACGAATCCCAGGAATGATCTCACTTGCCTCACCGTTCTTGGCGTGGCCCACTCCTGGACGGCAGACACCTTTTCGGGATCCACTGCAATCCCCGCCGCACTGACTCGATGGCCCAGGAATTTTACCTCCTTCTTGAGCAACTGGCACTTATCTGGCTGCAGCTTTAGTCCATACCGTTCTAGGGATCGGAAGACTTGCTCAAGATGTTGAAGATGAGACTCGAAGTCGGGAGAGTATACAATAACGTCATCTAAATAGACGAGCGTGGTGTCCATAAGCTGGGCTCCCAAGCAGCGCTGCATGAGACGTTGGAAGGTCGCGGGAGCGTTACACAACCCAAACGGCATACGTTCCCACTCAAAGAGGCCAAAAGGGGTGGTAAAGGCGGTCTTCTCCCGGTCTCCTTCCTCCACTTGGACTTGCCAGTAACCACTAGCCAGATCTAAGGTGGAATACCAGGCGGCCCGAGTAAGACTGGTCAAGGAGTCCTCGACCCGCGGCAGAGGGAAGGCGTCTCGTTTGGTAACTTGGTTCAGCCTCCGATAATCGACGCAGAATCGCCACGCCCCAGTCTTCTTCCGGACGAGGACTATCGGTGCTGCCCATGGGCTGCTGCTCTCCCGAATAACTCCCTTTTCCAGCATCCCTCGAAGGAGGGTACGAACCTCGGCATACAGAGTCGGAGGTACGGGGCGGTAGCGTTCCCGGCTTGGAGGCGCATCCCCAGTGGGAATCCGGTGCTTTACAATGTCTGTCCGCCCATAGTCCTCATCATGTGCAGAGAAAAGATGCTTCCATCTCACCAGGAAGTCCCGGAGTTGCTTTGCCTGCCCTTCTTCCAGCCCGTCGCCTCGTAAGGATTCTCCCGCCAGGTGGGCCGGAAGTGTTTCTTCCCGTCCGCCTGCAGGAGTCCCGGCCTGCGTCAAGGCCACCTCCACCACCGTCGGGCCCACCTGACAGAACTGAAACTCTCCTTCTTCGTGGACCTGCTCGGGGCTCACCGAGGTGACTCGCGCTAGACGTTGGTGGCGATACAGGGCCACAGCATAGGGATTGGTGTTTCTTAGCCTTACGGCAACCCGACCCCGGTGAACAGACGCCAATCCCCGGGCCACCTCCACGGTCTGGCAGTCCGAATGAGGCTCCACCAGGACCCACTCTGAGGACCCATGAAGCTGACCAGGGATACGGGCCCAAATAATGGCCTCACTCTGAGCCGGGACCGACAGTGCGTAGCGACACCCCACTCTTCCCACGCTCTCTCGATCCCGCTGGGCATCGGCCATGCGGACTCGGCGACAATCGGCCCTGATCCGATCCCATTCCTGTTCTTCCCCTCTCGAGGCCGACGGCATGGGTCTCGCTTTAAACAACTCCTCCCAGCATTCCATGATGACGTTCATTCCCAGTAGGGCACGGTGAGCTCCCAGACATGTATCCTGCACAATCACAACCCCCTTCTGAGGCACAAGGGTCCCCTGAACCTCCAGGTCCGTGACCAGATAGCCCACATACGGAATCTCCAGGCCGTTTGCCCCACGCAGGGTTAACCAGGGAACATCTGTGGCCGAATGTCCCTGGACCCCGAATAACTCCCGAGACAGGCTTTCGGAGAACAAGGTGACCTGGGACCCGGTGTCCAGGAGGCATTGAATTTCGGTCCCATTGACTTGAACCACCGCAAGGTGGCAACGCCCGACTAGACAATCCCTGGCTGCCAATGGAGAGGGGTCAATTAGGGGGGTCCCGGCCACTGTGGCCCACAGTGGCCGGAGACTCTAAAAACCCCCCTGCGATCCCCGGCGTGCCCTGCATTGCCGGACGTAATGACCTGGTTCGCCACAACCATTGCAAATGGGACGACCTTGTTCGTCCCACTGAAACCGGGGGGCGGAGGACCGGGGTGGACGTTGCTCTGGGAGTCGACTACCTTCGGAGGAGGCTCGTTCTCGTGTAGGTGGCAAGGGTCGGAAATGTTCTCGGCGTAATTCCTCTAAGAAAGTTTTAGACAGTTCTGCCATCTGTTCACGGACGTCTCTCCTCAATTCTTCTCTTAGGGCCTGTTTCCAGTCGGGTGGGGCAGGGGGTGGAGGACAACTGGCAGTACTGGTGGCCATACAGTGGGAGGGGTCCGAGGAGTCAGCATAATCCTGTTCAAGGGCCAGAGCTTCCTGACGTAGCTCATCAAACGTCAGAGCTGAATTGCGGCGAAGTTGTATCCGAAGGCTCTGACGTATTGGTCCATCCCGCAACCCCAGAAGAAACTGGTCCCTTAAGAGAGCCTCCCCTTCTCCAAGCCCATGGTCCTGCCTCCTCTCCAGCCGGGACAAGTGTTCTCGCAATTGCAGAGCAAAAGCACGTATAGTCTGTCGAGTTCCTTGTCTACAATTGAAGAATTGTGTCCGAAGAACAGCTGCAGGAGTGGAGTCGCCGTACAAACCCGTTAGGAAGTCAAGGATAGCCTGGGCTGTGGCTCGAGTTGCTTCTGGCGCCGCCTGTACCTCTCTCCTTGCTTCGCCGTCCAGCGAATTTAGAATAAACTGGGTCCGTTGTGCAGCGTTTAACCCTTGAAGGCCCGCCAAGTACTCCACCTGCGTCTTCCATGCCGATAGACTAAGTTCGGACCCTGGTCCCCCATACTTTTGAGCCCACGGGGCTCCCATGAAGATGGGCATGACATTGGGATGACCCACTGGTACCTCTTCGTCTGCCATTACTCCGCCCCCGTCTACTCAACCCGAGGGTGCAACCCTGCCGACTGCGCCAAATTTATGTCACAGGTCGGGGCGGGCCAACCTGACCTGCACCCACCCCTGAGCCCCGGGCCACCCTTGGGGAGTCGGACGGAGGACAGAGCAAGGAGGACAGACAAATGGAGGTCAATTAAAATCAAGTTTTTATTTAAAGTTAAAAGAATCTTCTAGGAGTGTAAGCTGGTAGTCGGAAACTTGGTCGAACTTCGGACTGGAGAGTTTAATGTACACAGGCACTACAGGCACGTCCTTTTCTTCACCGGCAGGTAGGCACGGCACCAGGACCACAGCAGAGGAAGGTTTTTAGTTAGAGGCTTCACCGCGGAGCAGACTGGTGAGTATGCAAGGATGTACGGCTCTTCCAGTGGCAGGCAGAAGGGGCTTACAGCCGGGGGTTTTTACTGCAAGGCAGGCAGGTAAGTATGTCAGTACGTACTCCTTTTCAAACGTCACATACAGGGGCTTACCGTTAGAGGCTTCACCGCAGAGCAGGCTGGTAAGGATGCGGGTACGTACGTCTCTTCTTTCTCTTCAAGTGACAAACAAAAGGGCTTACGACTTGAGGTTTGAGGCTGGAAGCTTCACCACAAGCAGACGGGTGAGTATGCGGGTACGTACGTCTCTTCTGGCTGGAGGTTTGAGGTTGGAAACTTCACCACAAGCAGACTGGTGAGTATGCGGGTCCGTACGTCTCTTCTCTGGTAAAGTCACAGACACAGGGGTTGCAGCAGAGGAGGTTTTACTGCAAAGCAGACAGGCAAGCATGCGAATACGTACTTCTCTTCAAAGTGGCAACAACAGGGCTTACGGCTAGAGGTTTGAACTGAACACTTCACCACAAGCAGACTGGTGAGTATGCGGGTACGTACGTCTCTTCTCTGGTGGAGTCACAGACACAGGGTTTACAGCAGAGGAGGTTTTTACTGCAAAGCAGACAGACAAGCATGCGAATACGTACTTCTCTTCAAAGTGGCGAACAACGGGGCTTACGGCTGGGGGTTTGAGGTTGGAAACTTCACCACAAGCAGACTGGTGAGTATGCGGGTACGTACGTCTCTTCTCTGGTGGAGTCACAGACACAGGGTTTACAGCAGAGGAGGTTTTACTGCAAAGCAGACAGGCAAGCATGCGAATACGTACTTCTCTTCAAAGTGGCAAACAACAGGGCTTACGGCTAGAGGTTTGAACTGCACACTTCACCACAAGCAGACTGGTGAGTATGCGGGTACGTACGTCTCTTCTCTGGCGGAGTCACAGACACAGGGTTTACAGTAGGGCTGGGCGATTTTATCGATTCTGCGATATAAATCGATATTTTTTTTCCAAAGAAAGTATCGATTTTTTAGCCGCGAGTATCGATACATACGTCCCATTCAAATCCCCTGTGTTTACCCCCGTTCGTGTTGCAGGAAGAGCGATTTGGTCAGCCAGCCGCTAGTGTTGCTGTAGAGCAAGTTACCCGTACAAAATGTACACAGACGCAGACGTCTAACTCTTCCTGTTTACCAAGTCAGAGCGAGGATATTCATAGAATGGCGGCGAATATAAATCCGGCACCCGCCTGCTTAAAAGCAGATGTGTGGGAGCACTTTGGTTTTAAAAAAACGAAGGAAAGCAACGACTTGGATAAAAGCGTCGCGGTTTGTAAGCTATGTGGCACTAAAGTTAAGTATTCCGGCAATACCACAAATTTACGAGCGCACCTAAAACGTCACCACCTGGACAAGTTTATGCTTACGGAGGACCCAAAGCAGCAGCGGCCGCGTGACCCAAAACAAACTACGCTGGACATTGATGGCGGTTGTTCCCACAAGTTTCCGTCTGCTTCACCAAGGTCGCAGAAAATTACAGAGTCCATTGCCTACTTTATTTGCCAGGATTTGAGACCATATTCAGTGGTGGAAAACCCCGGCTTTAGGCGCATGGTGAACGCGATGGAGCCCCGCTATCCGATTCCAACCCGCGAACACCTCACCAAGGTTTCCATTCCCGGGCTGTACGCTCAGACAAGGGCACACGTTAAAGCCTCCCTGGCCAGTGCGGAGAGAGTTGCCCTGACGTGCGACGGCTGGACCTCGCGCACAACTGAAGCGTATGTTACCATCACGGCCCACTTTATCAACGAGGAATGGGAGCTCGTTACGTATGTTTTACAAACCAGGGACATGCCCGAGAGCCACACCGGACACAACCTGGCAGAACATCTGAGAAAGGCCCTCGCTGAGTGGGGAATCACAGAAAAGGATCCAGTAATCGTCACTGACAATGCCTCAAATATGACAATCGCAGCTGAGGAGGCAGCATTCACACTTCATGTCAAATGTTATGCTCATACACTAAATCTAGCTGCACAGCGTGCCCTCAAAATCACAGCAGTCGCACGCCTGCTGGGAAGGGTGAGACGCATTGTGAGTTTCTTCAGACGGAGCACCACAGCCAACCACATGCTGAAAGAAAAACAGAGGCTTCTACGACTACCAGAGCACAAGTTGATGACGGATGTAGTTACCAGGTTAGTGTGTGGTTACTTTTCAATAGTTTATTTGTTTTTTTTATTACTTATTCATTTATTAATTACATTATTATTTAATTTGTTTAGTCTTTTATGTAAAGCATCCATGCTGTCTATAAATAAAATATAAATAAAGTATATTTATTTTATTTAACTACAGATGGAATAGGGCGCATGACATGCTGGAAAGATTCCTGGAGCAACAACCGGCCATCTGCGCAACCCTGCTCTCGAGTGAAGTCAGGAAGACCGAGAAAGATCTGTGCACACTGACTGAGTCAGATGTGACAACAGCTGAAGAAGTAGTCAGCGCTCTGAAGCCTATGAAAGAGGCAACACAGTACATGTCCAAGGAGAAGACCCCCACACTGTCAGTCGTCGCACCCCTCCAGGACACACTGATCAACGGACTGAAACCGATCGAAGGTGAATCTGCAGTCATAAAAGAGATGAAGGCTGCCATGGCTGGGGATCTTCAGAAGAGGTATATGGACCTCAAGGCAACTCTCCATGCCTGTTCAGCGATGGATCCAAGATTCAAAAGTCTTCCCTTCCTGACTGAAGATGAAAGACAGGAAGTTTATGATGGACTGATTGTAGAGGCTGCAAGACTGAGCATGCAGCCATCAGAGGTAAGGCAGTGATGGTACTGCTACTAGTTTAAAAGGCAAATCCGACATCAGTTTAAAATAGATAAATATTAAATAGTTTTAAAAGCATAATTAAATACTATAATGTTAACAGGTTTAAATGCATATTTAATATAGTAATTAAAAGATTTATACAATAAAAGCTCATGAATTTCATTTCATGTTGACTTATTTAATTTAGTCACTTTGGAGTGTGGATGAAGAGGGCACAGCAAATGCTCATGCTCATGATGAGGGGATGGCATCTAAAGAAGATAAAGACGCTGTGGATGAAGGAGAGCATTTCATGGAAGGAGTGAGCAGTCAAGGTCAGTAGTATAACCCATTGTTATCCAGTGAAGCGCACTGTGTGTTGTCTGAACTTCTGTGCAGGAAGTATGGAATGTGCTTAACTATAAGTAATGTTTTTTTTGTTTTTATTGTTTATTTATTTGAAGGTCAGCGTCCTCCACCCAGGAATCCAAGGCCCTCTTGTCCACTGGCTGCCCTTCTTGGTGAACGATACGGTGGTGGTGCAGCACGAACCAAGAAAAATACCCAAGAGGACGAGGCCAAGGAGCAGATGACCCGCTACAAGGAGGCAGATCTCCTGGAAGTGAAAGAAGATCCACTGGTCTGGTGGAAGGAGCACCAGTATCAGTATCCACTCTTGTCACAACTTGCTAAAAGGTACCTCTGTATCCCTGGCACTAGCGTTTCCTCTGAGAGGGTATTTTCCACAGCCGGAGATATCATCACTGCTCAGAGAAGCGCACTTCTCCCAGAGCATGTGGATCAAATTATTTTCCTAAACAAAAATCTGAAGACAATGTAGATCACTTGGTCTGCAGTTATGTGGAGAGGAGAGTTTGTTTAGTGTTCACTTAAGGCCTTAAGCTACTTTGCTAAGATGGGTAAAAAAAAATTCAACTTGAATTATTGTCTGGCTGCCATGGTTTATTTTTTCTGCTGGCTAGACTGGCTACCTCACATACGTGTAGGCTTACAGGCCTTAAAATACTCAGCTAAGTTTTAAGTTAAATGTTCTTATTGACTTGAATTATTTGATGTTTTGGAGAAGCCATGGTACTACTATGTTTACTTACCTGGCGGCTTGCACCTTCATTGTTTCATTGCTTCATTAACTCTTCATTGTTAATTGCAAATTGCAATGTTGCACTTTATTTACTTTTCAAAGTCTTGTAAGCTACAGTTTGCACTGTTTCAATAAATGGAACTAATTTTCTCAACACATCTTTGATTAATTTTGTCCAGCATTTATTTTGCAAGCTGTCTGATGTTTTTGAGTTTTCATTTAAATTAATCCAAGTAAATGAAACACTCACAAGATGTCACCAAAATCACTCTGTCCCCTTTAAATCTTTCAGAAAATGATGTAAGTGTATCGAATTATATCGAATCGTATCGAATCGTATCGTAGGCTGAATATCGTGATATATATCGTATCGTGAGCTGAATATCGTGTATCGTATCGTATCGTGAGATTAGTGTATCGCTACAGCCCTAGTTTACAGCAGAGGAGGTTTTACTGCAAAGCAGACAGGACAAGCATGCGAATACGTACTTCTCTTCAAAGTGGCGAACAACGGGGCTTACGGCTGGGGGTTTGAGGTTGGAAACTTCACCACAAGCAGACTGGTGAGTATGCGGGTACGTACGTCTCTTCTCTGGTGGAGTCACAGACACAGGGTTTACAGCAGAGGAGGTTTTACTGCAAAGCAGACAGACAAGCATGCGAATACGTACTTCTCTTCAAAGTGGCAAACAACAGGGCTTACGGCTAGAGGTTTGAACTGCACACTTCACCACAAGCAGACTGGTGAGTATGCGGGTACGTACGTCTCTTCTCTGGTGGAGTCACAGACACAGGGTTTACAGCAGAGGAGGTTTTACTGCAAAGCAGACAGACAAGCATGCGAATACGTACTTCTCTTCAAAGTGGCGAACAACGGGGCTTACGGCTGGAGGTTTGAACTGCACACTTCACCACAAGCAGACTGGTGAGTATGCGGGTACGTACGTCTCTTCTCTGGTGGAGTCACAGACACAGGGTTTACAGCAGAGGAGGTTTTACTGCAAAGCAGACAGACAAGCATGCGAATACGTACTTCTCTTCAAAGTGGCAACAACAGGGCTTACGGCTGGGGGTTTGAGGTTGGAAACTTCACCACAAGCAGACTGGTGAGTATGCGGGTACGTACGTCTCTTCTCTGGTGGAGTCACAGACACAGGGTTTACAGCAGAGGAGGTTTTACTGCAAAGCAGACAGGCAAGCATGCGAATACGTACTTCTCTTCCCAGTGGGCTGTCAAAATCAACCCTCTCGAACGTCTGTGGGACACAACAATGTTAGCCTCTCTTTGTACAGTCGGGAGGAGATAGAAGACTAGGACAAGACATGGACATCCAGCGGGTTTAGGTTCACACTTCAAACAGCAAACAGTGCATCACATCACTTCATCTCAACAAATGGCACTCAGTGGAAAATTACACAGGTATAAGGCCGTTACCCATCTCCTGGCCCGGCTTCTACATCAAAGTCCCGCTGTCGCAAGAGAGGGAGATGCAAAGTCGATTAGGTTACTCACGATCTCTTCACAAACGTTCCTCCGTCCCGTGGCTACCTCCTTCCCATTGGATCCGCCTGTGTGTCTCTCCAATCACCACGCCATGCCCGTTTAGCAGCCCCACATCTGCACCACAGCTCACTCTTCCTCCAACAAACGCCGATCCCGAGGAAAACCAACACCCTGTTTGATCTATGCTTTCTCCTTTTATCTTCCCGTGTCCCAATCGCAAGGCTTGCTTCTCCCACCTCCAGCTGTTAGCGATCTTTGGCAAATCACCCCAGTGTCGGAGATGCTCGCGCTATCCCGGAACTAGCCCGGTGTCCCTTTGTTATGGGTCCGGCGGGAGGCAAAACCCAGAGAACATTAGTTCCGTCCAGAGAAATGAATGAAATTTGTCACCCCGTGACAGTGTCTCACACCAATATTGCCCAGTGGGGCCCCACAGAGCACGTTTCACTTTTGCTGTTTTTACAACAGCGAACCTTTATACTCTCAGCAGTATAAATAATCTTCACTCGCCTCTTCGGAGTGAAGCTCTCCCGTTCCCCTTCAAAATCTCTCCCAATCAGACAGCCCTGACAATTAATTAATAAACAAACAGTCGGACACAAACAGTCGGACAGTGGCACAGTGCTCATTTAGTAAATGCATAGCTAAACAGAAGTGTCTTGAGTCTGGATTTGAATGTGACTACTGTAGGAGCACATCTGATCTCCTCTGGAAGCTGGTTCTAGCTGCAGCTGGCATAATAGCTAAAAGCAGACTCTCCTTGCTTAGAGTGAACCCTTGGTATTTCTAGCTGATGTGATCCTAATGATCTGAGTGATCTGTTGGGTTTATATTCAGTGAGCATATCTGAAAGGTATTTAGGTCCTAGGCCATTAAATGATTTATTTACCAGTAATAATACTTTAAAATCAATCCTAAATGTAACTGGGAGCCAGTGTAAAGACTTGAGGACTGGTGTGATGTGTTCATATTTTCTGGTTCTGCTCAGAATCCTGGCAGCAGCGTTCTGTATGAGCTGCAACTGTCTTATGGTCTTTTTAGGAAGGCCAGTGAAGAGTCCATTACAATAATCCACCCTGCTGGTGATGAAAGCATGCACAAGTTTTTCTAAGTCTTGACTGGGAACAAAGCATCTAATTCTTGCAATATTTTTCAGATGATAGTATGCTGATTTAGTTATTGATTTGTCATGACTACTGAAACTAAGGTCTGACTCTAGAGACACACCCAGGTTCCTGACTTGATTTTTAGTAGTTAGACCCCTAGCGTCAAGGTATACATTCACCTTGAGAACTTCATCTTTGTTGCCAAATGCAATGACTTCAGTTTTGTCTTTGTTTAACTGAAGAAAGTTTTGGCACATCCAATTGTTTACTTCCTCAATGCATTGGCACAGGGAGTCAATGGGGCTGTAATCGTTAGGCGATAGGGATAAGTAGATCTGTGTGTCGTCTGCATAGCTGTGGTAAGAGATTTGGTTCTTTCTCATTATTTGGCTCATTGGGAGCATGTACAGGTTGAACAGGAGTGGCGCAAGAATTGAGCCTTGAGGGACTCCGCATGTCATGGGTGTCCACTCAGACTTATGGTCTCCTATACTCACATAATAACCTCTCTCTTCTAAGTATGACCTGAACCATTTTAGAACTATCCCAGAAAGCCCGACCCAGTTTTCCTGTCAAGAAGTATGTCGTGATCGACAGTGTCAAATGCAGCACTGAGGTCGAGTAGTACCAGCACTGTAAATTTGCCTTTATCAGTATTTAAGCGAATATCATTTATTATCTTTATGAGCGCTGTCTCTGTGCTGTGATGCGATCTGAAACCAGAATGAAAATTGTCGAAGTATCCATTAGAGCTTAAGAATTTGTTCAGCTGATTGAAGACAACTTTTTCAATGATCTTGCCTATGAAAGGAAGATTTGAGATCGGTCTATAGTTGCTTAATAAGGACTTATCCAGATTGCTCTTTTTCAGGAGGGGCTTGACAACTGCAGTTTTCAGGGAGTTTGGAAAATTCCCAGAGAGAAGTGAGGCATTTACCACTTCTAGGAGATCTGCTTCTAAACAGTTTAACACACTTTTGAAGAAATATGTGGGAAGTGCGTCAAGGGCGCAGGTTGATGTTTTAAGGTGTTGTACGGTTTCTTCTAAATTTTTGCCATCAATTTCTTCAAAATCAGACATAGTAGCTGCTTTCTCAGGTTGTGGTCTGATCTGTCTAACCCCAGCGCAACTCAATGATGTGTTGATCACCTTTCTGATATTATTGATTTTCTCAGAGAAGAACGAAGCAAACTCACTGCACTTGCTGTCTGAGAGCAATTCATTGGGAATCTGGCTTGGGGGGTTTGTCAGTCTCTCTACAGTAGCAAAAAGAGTGCGTGTGTTGTTTAAGTTGCTGTTTATAATATTTGAGAAGAAAGTCTGTCTAGCTTTGCCTAGTTCCATATTGAAAGCATGGATGGTGTCTTTGTAGATGTTATAATGGACTACACGTTTTGTTTTCCGCCACATGCGCTCTGTTTTTCTGCATTGTCTTTTCATATTTTGCACTGCTGTTGAGTTTCTCCAAGGTGCTTTTTGTCTACTCTTCCTGACTTTCACAGGAGCAATATCATCAATTACACTTTTAACTTTTGAGTTAAAAGAATCAAGGAGAAAATCAACAGAGTCAGCAGATAGGCTTGGTGTTGAAGATATAGCCTTCATAAATAGCACACTAGTGTTCTCATTTAAGCATCTCTTCTTGACAGACACAGATCTAGCTTCAATGGCAGGAGAGATCAATATATCAAAGAAAATACAAAAATGATCAGACAGTGCTACATCCTTAATAACAATCGATGAAATGTTTAGACCCTTACTGATAAGTATATCTAGAGTGTGTCCACGAGTGTGTGTCAGTCCGTGAACATGCTGAATCAGGTCAAAAGTTTTTAAAACAGTTTTGATTTCTTTTGCCATATTGGTTTCTGTATTATCTATGTGAATGTTAAAATCTCCAGCAATAGCAAAACAGTCAAACTCTGAGGAAATTGTTGATAACAGTTCTGTAAAGTCCTCAGCAAAGGCTGAAGAGTATTTTGGAGGCCTGTAAAGAATAATAAGTAAAATGCGTGGAACGCCTTTAACACAATACCCAGATATTCGAAAGACGGGTAATTACCAAATGATATTTGCTTACATTGATAGACATCCTTAAAAAGAGCAGCTACTCCTCCACCTCTCCTTACAGCTCTGCAGACACTCATGAAAGTAAAGTTAGGAGGAGATGTTTCATTGAGGACTGTTGCACTGCAGCTGTCTTCTAGCCAGGTTTCATTTAGAAGCATAAAATCCAGGTTGTATGTGGTCATTAAGTCATTGACTAGAAGTGATTTATTTTTAAGTGAGCGGATGTTTAAAAGTGCTAACTTAACAGTCTTACTTTTTGTCCCCACAGCAGTCTTAGTTTGGCGTGTAATAGGCACCAGATTAGATGGGTTTGCTGTACGGCTTTTGAAGGC